CTTGCCCATTTGTGAAAATCAATGAGCCAAAATATATTCAGGTAAGCAGGGAGAGCAAACAAATGATGAATTTACTATGGTGAATTCAGTCATTCACTCCATTGTTGGAGGAAGTACAGCTCCCAATGTAAGTGCTACAAGTCTCATAGACCCCAACATTATGTCCATGCCTCCATCTTCTCTTACAGGCCATTTACAAAGCCAGCCTAGGCCTGTGTATTTGGTAAAAGGTCTGCAAGAGAGGGAGTAGAAGACACAACCATATCGCTGGGGTCTACGAGATCTGCAGTGCTTACATATGAGCAGACCAGAAGTACCCTGAGAGCTTGCAAAAAAGCATACTTGTGTAATGTACACTGCTCAAAAAAATTTAAAGGAACAGTTTGAAAACACATCAGATCTCAATAGGGAAAAATATCATCCTGGATATCTATACTGATATGGACTGGGTAATGTGTTAGGAATGTATCGATGCCCCATTGTTTGATGGAAATTAAAATTATCAACCTACAGAGGACTGAATTCAAAGTCCCCAAAAATCAAAGTGAAAACATTATGCAGCAGGCTAGTCCATTTTGCTGAAATTTCATTGCCAGCAACTAAAATGGTACTCAGTAGCTGGTATGGCCCCACGTGCTTGTATGCATGCCTGACAACATTGGGGCATGCTGCTAATGAGACGATGGATGGTGTGCTGGGGTATTTCCTCCCAGATCTGGATCAGCGCATTGCTGAGCTCCTGGACAGTGTGAAGTGCAACCTGGCAGTGTCAGATGGACCGAAACATGATATAGAGGTATTCTATTGGATTTAGGTCAGGCGAGCGTGGGGGCCATTCAATGGTACAATTCCTTCATCTTCCAGGAACTGCCTGCATACTCTCACCAAATGAGGCCGGGCATTGTTGTGCACCAGGAGGAAGCCAGGACCCACTGCACCAGCGTAGGGTCTGACAATGGGTCCAAGGATTTCATCCCGATACCCAATGGCAGTCAGGGTGCCATTGTCTAGCCTGTAGAGGTCTGTGCATCACTCCATGGATATGCCTCCCCAAATCATCACTGACCCACCACCAAAACTGTCACGCTGAACGATGTTACAGACAGCATAACGTTCTCCATGGCCATGAACCTGTTTCATTTGTGAAAAGCACAGGGTGCCAGAGGCTGACCTGACAAATGGCAATCGAGCTCTGTGGTGTCGGGCAGTAAGCACAGGGCCCACTGGAGGATGTCTGGGTCTCAGGCCACCCTCATGAAGTCTGTTTCTGATTGTTTGGTCAGAGACATTCGCACCACTGGCCTGCTGGAGGTCATTTTATAGGGCTCTGGCAGTGCTCATCCTGTTCCTCCTTGCACAAAGGAGCAGATACCGGTCCTGCTGATGGGTTAAGGACCTTCTACGGCCCTGCCCAGCTCTCATAGAGTAACTGCCTGTCTCCTGGAATCTCTCTGCTCTTGTGACTGTGCTGGGAGACACAGCAAACCTTCTGGCAATGGCACACATTGATGGGCCATTCTGGAGGACTTGGACTGCCAGTGCAAATTCTGTAGGGTCCAGGTATCGCCTCATGCTACCAGTAGTGACACTGACTCTAGCCAAATGCAAAACTAGTGAAAAGCAGAGAAGATGAGCAGGGAAAAAAAGTAGGTCAGTGACCTCCACTTGTAAAACCATTCCTGTTTTGGGGGTTGTCTCACTGTTGCCCATCTAGTGCACCTGTTGTTAATTTTATTAACACTAAAGTAGCTGAAACTGATTAACAACCCCCTCTGCTACTTAACTGACCAGATTAATATCCCAGGACTTTAATTGACTTGATGCTGTATTCTGATTAAAAAGTGTTCCTTTAATTTTTTTCAGCACGGTAGGAGAAGGTCCACAGCACAAGGTGCTGAGTTTGAAGTAAGAGAATGTAAGACTCAACAAACCAGCTTGAGTTTAGTGTGCCTAGAATTGGGCTTTAAGGCCTGTCAGACTTACAGAGGTATGCCTTCACATTTTATATACAATGATACAATCGAGATTGTATCACCTTTCAGTATATTACCACTTTATACATAAACACCTAGGAGGAAAGGATGCATACAGTATGGTCTTTGCAGTATATTTAAAACAACTTGACCACTGCACTTTTCAATTTATGTTTATTCTCAATTAACAATTGGTCTTTTATTTATAAATGTGTGCATATAATGTAGATACATGGGTATATAGCCCTTTATTTTAATCTTTTTAATATCTATATTTATTTTGTAGCCCTGATGAAGGCAGAGCATTTTTTGACCCCAGAATGCATTGGCTATATAATGTGATCCTAATATGAACAACTAAAGTGAGCTCGACTCTACCATTTGGTTTGGTATTCATTGTATGTTTATGCTCCATTCATCTCCTGGTGGGGTTGAGGGCTGGGTTTGCCACTACCATGGGTTCAAAGTACACCTCATGGATTTGAGGTTTTTAGTTCCAGGTCATCTTTGCGCATATTTGCATGGGAGAATAATGCACTGCAGGGCCTTTGACCTATGACAAGCAGGCTTAGAAGGACCAATAAGGGGGTATTTGGATAAACCAGCCCCCTCACTATTCAAGGGAAGGCACAGAGCAGCTACAAAGAACCAGCAAACACAAATGCTCCTACTTTATTTTTTATTAAACATTTTTTATGGTAATGCACTAGGCCTGTGCGCCCTCTTTTTGTTCTTTCCTCATACAGAGCAGCTACAGTGTCAGTGTATTGGAAGCTATAAGTCCCTTTGCAGATTTTGTTTATTGCATTGGATAGTATTTTGGAGTTTTCATTTCTGTTTTTCAATTCTTTTTTTTTATGTTGATAGGGCCTTTTTTTCGTTTCAGGTGCTAAAAGTGCAGCTTTCACTTTTTACGAACCATCTGTTCTTGGTTTAACTTAAATAAAGGAATGCGCTAAAACCACAAACTATTCCTAATTTAGTGTAGAAACATTAGTGCAAAAGATATATATATCTATTCTCAATTAATATAAAAAAATATCAAAATTATGTGCAAAACTATTTTTTAGTGCATAAGTAATTTAAATAATTAAATTTGTGAATATAAAAAAAATGTCCAATTCTGAATTTCTTCAAATGTCCAAACAAATCCTTTTCAAATTCAGGTGCTCTCAAAGAAATTGTGCCAAAATCCATTAGATTGGGTAACTCACCAGAGCTCCATGCTGATCAATCTCTAGATCAGCAAAAAAACGCTTTTTGACTTAATTTTTTGACTTAATTTTCTCCACAAACGTCAGCATCCAGCAAGCTTGCTGGATGCTGACGTTTGTGGAGAAAATTAAGTCACGAGCGCTGTAGTGAGTGTACGGGGAACAGGAGACTGTGTTATACCATTTGCTGTTTTATGCTGTTATACTGGTGTCGGTGAAGACACCCTTTTTGTGAGTGTAAATCTTTATTAAATTGTTGGATACTTTTATAAAAAAAAAACTGGCTGCACCATGATTTTTCTTTCATTCCCAAACATGACCTCGGTGGAGAGATATAAAAAGAGAGAGTGATATAATGCTCCTGGAACCATTATATTGAGTGGTGGATACCTACCTTATGGATGATTGTGTAGCTATTGATCATCACACCTGAGAAGTTAATTCATTGCATCTGCTCCCAGAGCAAAAAGCGTTTTTTTGCTGATCTAGAGATTGATCAGCATGGAGCTCTGGTGAGTTACCCAACTTTATTTTTGGTGGTGGATTTTGGCACAATTTCTTTGAGAGCACCTGAATTTGAAAAGGATTTGTTTGGACATTTGAAGAAATTCAGAATTGGACATTTTTTTTATATTCACAAATTTAATTATTTAAATTACTTATGCACTAGAAAATAGTTTTGCACATAATTTTGATATTTTTTTATATTAATTGAGAATAGATATATATATGTTTTGCACTAATGTTTCTACACTAAATTAGGAATAGTTTGTGGTTTTAGCGCATTCCTTTATTTAAGTTATAGCACTAAGAAAATTTATTTGGTTTCTTTGAGGTGGAATTGCTGCTTTAAAGTATTAAGGGTGTGGCGCTTTTATTACACTTGTGACATCTGTTCTTGGTGTTGCCGTTTGCTCTGTGCCATTTGTATTTCAATGGTTTTTATTAATTTATAACAATGAACACAGGAGCAACAAATCACGCCCATGCAGGGGCTATAAATTGCACATAGAGGAACTAGAAATTAGAGAAATCAGTGCTCTAACACCAACAGGGCAAAAGATACGCCCATGCAGAGGCCATCAATGGGACTTAAATAACAAAACATAAATATAACACTGATAATAACTCAGACTAAAGGCAGCTATCCACTGCCACACCAAAGCAAACAGAGAAAAAAAAAGGGGGGAAACGAAGGAGAAGTACAAAAGAAAAAAGGATAGCCAAACCAAGAGCAGGGATCCAAGAACGCCAAAGTCGAACAACATCACATCCCCAGGCTAGCCGGGGGGAGTGTGGGAAAGGTATATTGCAACCACGGCTCCCATATTTTCAAGAATTTACATTGGGAGTCGTTGCAGATACTTGACATCTGTTCACTGAGCATCATAGCGGTCATACATCCCGCACCCCCTGAAGAGGGACAAACGGGCTCTTCCAGGCCTGAGCAATTGTTCTAGAGGCCGACAAAAACAAATCGGAAGCCAACTTCTGCTGGTGAGCCAAGAGGCCCGTTAAGGGACAATGAAGCAAAGCATACCGAGCATCCCATCGTATAGAAAGATGGAACAAGGTGAAAAGGAGGCCAAACACACGAGACCAAAAACGAAGCAGCCTTGGGCATGACCACCAGATATGCAATATATCACCATGATGGCCACAATTCTGAAAGCATTGATCACTGCAGGCAGGGTTCGCCTGTGCCAAACAAGCCGGAACCCAATACCAACGAAACAACACCTTGTAGGCCGCCTCCAGTGTGGTCGTGTTAAAAGAGCATTTAGCTACAAGCGACCAGGCCCTATTCCAGTCCTCCGGATCCACAACCACTCCCAGGTCACACTCCCACTGAACGACATATGAAAGAGAAGTATGCGACAAGCGTCTATTCAAGGCTGCATAAAGAAGGGAGATGAGGCCCGGGGCGCCCTGACGCTGTTGGCAAAGCAGTTCAAAGGCAGATTTCTGGTACGGGAAAACAGATGTGCCCCACAATGAGAGCAGCCAATGCCGCAATTAAAGGTAACGAAAAAATTCCTCCGAAGGGACATCCCGTGACTCCCGAAGAGAATTCCAGGTGGGGAAGGACCGAGAGGTCAAAAAGTGTCGTACTTGTGAAAAACCGTTGGCCACCCACCAAGAAAACGCCCTTGGTTGATCTAAACCCGGTGGAAAGAGGGGGTTGTTAGTAATCAAAGGCAAGAAAGGTGACATTAGGCCACTGGAGTAACGTACCGAGTCCCACACTAAGCCATCGAGCAAGATTGGACTCAGTGCCGTGGGGCGCAGGGCAGGGGGAAGCCATAGAAGCGTTGAAATTGCAATAGGGGCACAATTAGGTAATTCCAGCAGGACCCAGAGAGGCATGCTTCCTCAGACATACAACATAGATAGCGGGCGATCTGGCTCGCCTGATAATATTTAGTTACATTGGGAACCCCAAGGCCACCCTGGAGTCTATGGACAAAAAGCGTAGTTCTGGAAACTCAGGGGCATTTATCGGCCCAGATAAAATGCATAATCTTCGCCTGAAGCAACCGAAGGAAATGGAGGAACCCGCACTGGAGGGTGCGAAAATAGTATAACAATTGCAAGATGGTCATTTTCACTGAATTGATCTGTCCTATTGTCAAGGTCCTACCTTTTCCCTGAGGTTATGTTACTCCATGTGCTGTCGTCCATCTTGGATTCTGCTGTGCATGATGGGAATCCTTTTATGCCTTCAGGTCTCTGTGGTCCATCCCCCAGAGGGGTGTGGCTGATGACATATAAGCCTGTGGCCCGCACATGCTCTTTGCACTTGTGTCTTGTGTCTTTGTGTTGCTATTACTCTGTTCTGACTCTCGTGACTCTCCTGGTATCTGATTCGGCTTGTGACTTGACTATTCTTTGTATTCTCCCTTGATCTGACCCTCTGTTGCTGAACCCGGCTCGTGACCTGTGATTCTCGTCTGCTGTCCTGTACTGTTTTGTCCTGTTGGTGTTGACCCGGCTTGTCTGACTACTCTTTTGTCTCTTCCACCAGCTACACGCCATTGGCGGCGGTCATTACCGCAGCTGAGGTGTCTCGGGGGGCCGCGACCTGGTTCCTGGCTGCGTCAAGTCCATCCCCACCATCAGGGGCCCTGGTGAAGGGCAGCCTGGGACTTAGACTCCGCGCCCTGAGGGACTTCGGTCTGTGGGTAGTGGTTGTCGTCAGCCAGTGCGTTACATTGTTAGGCCTGCCTGTCCGTTCCTCGGCCCCTGCCCTGGCACCTATCCATGACAGGTGCGGAAATTGCCAAGAATGCATAAGAGAGGACACAGAGCGAAGCAATGGATAGTAATTTGAAGCAAACAGTGAGTCATAGGTGGGGGTCAAGCGAATGCCTAGGTATTCAAGAGAAGAAGAGGCCCATTTATTGGGGAAGTGGGACTGTAGGCGCGAAACCAGATCTGAAGCCAAAGTAATATTAAGCGCGACAGTCTTATTCAAATTGATACAGAGACCCGAAATCAAAGAGAAGCGCTCAAGAACCTGTTGCAAATTTGGAAGCGTCGTCAGGGGATTAGTGAGAGTCAAGAGGGCATCGTCTGCAAAAAGATTCAACTCCTGTCCCGCGTATGGAACCCCCGATACATTACAATCAGTCTGGAGCGCCATAGCCAACGGCTCAAGCACCAGGACAAAGAGCGTCGGGGACAGGGGGCATCCCTGTCTCGTACCTCGCCAAATAGGAAAGGGATCTGAGAAATACCCAGCATATTTAACGGAAGCCAAAGGGGAAGAATACAAGGCTTGAATCCAAGAAAGAATAGAATCCCCAAAACCCCAGCGAGACAGCAAAAACCGCAGATATTCCCAGGATAGAGAATCAAAGGCTTTATATATATCTAAGGACAATAAGAATCCCGGTATTTTCCACTGTTGTAGAAAACGTAGAAGATGGACCACCTTACGAACATTATCACCGCGCCTGTCTCCCAGGGACAAAACCCACTTGGTCACTGTGGATCAGGCTGCGCAAGTATTTATTGATAAGAAAGCTAAGAAACTTGCCCAAGATCTTCGGGTCTTCATTAAGAAGAGAAATGGGCCGAAAGGCTTGCGGTTCCTGCACATCATCAGTTGTCTTAGGGATCATGGAAATATGAGCTCTAAGCGAGTCCGGAGAGGGCAATGAGCCCTGACGTAACTCATTAAAAAAGTCAGCCAAGAAGGGTGCTAACAGGGTTGCAAATTTCTTATAATAGAGGCCGGAAAAACCGTCTGGACCTGGGGCGGCTGTAGACTGTAGAGATTTAATAGCTTGGAGCACTTCCGGTACGGTGACACCGGCAATGAGGGCCTTCTGCGCTGCCTCAGATAGTCCAGGAAGTTGGAGGTCTTGAAAGAATGCCTCTGCCTGAGCCACAGGGAAGGGATCTGGTTTGGCGTAAAGGCGCGCGAAGAAAGTCTGCAAAACGGGAGACAATCTGCTGGGGATTAGAAGTACAGCCACCCACGGGAAGTCGCAATCGGATCGGTTTATGGGGTTTCCCCACAGAATTGAGTTTCCTCAATTCTGGACCAGGCTTATTAGCACAGGAATAAAATTTGTGTTTGGCCCAACACAGGGCCCGTTCCGCCTCTGAAGAGGAGAGTAGGTCCAACTCTGCTGCCAAGGCGTCTCGCGCGCATTTATGGGCCGGCTCTGTGCCATTTGAAAGAATAAAAGTGCAAGAACAGTGTACATCTAAACTGAGAATCCCACTATCCCAAGTCACATAAAATAACAACTCAAATACACCAATTGGGCCTATTATCCCTGATTAAATCTGTCTTGCTGCTGGCTAAATTTTACACTACTATATACTCTTTGGAATCTTAATTCATGTAGTAAAACTTCAGCCTGTGTCCCCTGTCTCTAGTAAATTTTGGTCTAGCTTTGCTATTTATATTTACATAGTTACATAGTTAGTCTGGATAAAGAAAGAGAAAAATCCATCCAGTTCAACCAAAAAAAAAAAAAAAAGTTATAATCCTATACCCACAGTTGATCCAGAGGAAGGCAACCCCCCCCAGCAAAGCATGATCCAATTTGCTCCTGCAGGAGAAAAAATTCCTTCCTGATCCCCCGAGAGGCAATCGGATATTCCCTGGATAAACTTTATCTATAAATGTTAGTATTAAGTTATATTCTGTGTATCCAAGAAATAATCCAGGCCTTTTTAAAGCAATCCACTGAGCTGGCCAGAACCAACTCTTGAGGGAGTCCATTCCACATTTTCACAGCTCTTACTGTGAAGAAACCTTTCCGTATTTGAAGATTAAATCTCTTTTCCTCCAGACATAAAGAGTGCCCCCTTGTCCTCTATGATGACGATGACCTAAGGGTGAATAACTCTACACCAAGTTTTTTTATACATGTTTATCATATCCTCCCTTAATCTCCTCTTCTCGAGAATAAATTCAGTTCCTCTAATCTTTCCTCATAGCTGAGCTCCTCCATGCCTCGTATCAGTTTGGTTGCCCTTCTCTGCACTTTCTCCAGTTCCACAATGTTCTTTTTGTGAATTGGTGCCCAAAACGGAACTGCATATTCCAGATGAGGTCTTACTAATGATTTGTACAGGGTAAAATTATCTCTCTCTCTCTCTCTCTGGAGTCCATACCTCTTTTAATACAAGAGAGGATTTTGCTCGCTTTAGAAACTGCAGCTTGGCATTGCATGCCATTATTAAGCTTATGATCTACCAGAACCCCCAGATCCTTCTCCACCATTGATTCCCCCAGTTGTACTCCCCTAGTATGTATGAAGCATGCATATTCTTAGCCCCCAAGTGCAAAACCTTACATTTATCAACATTAAACCTCATTTGCCACATAGTCGCCCAATTAAACAGTGCATTGAGGTCGGCTTGTAAGTTGGAGACATCCTGCAAGAACGTTATTCCACTGCACAGCTTGGTGTCATCTGCAAAGACTGAAACTGTACTTTTAATCCCAAACCCTATATCATTTATAAGTATATTAAAAAGTAAGGGTCCCAACACTGAACTTTGGGGTACAACACTAACAACCTTAGACCATTCAGAGTACGAATCATTAACTACCACTCTCTGAATTCGGTCTTTTAGCCAGTTTTCTACACATTTACATAGAAATACATACATTTTCCAAGCCTGTAGACTTTACCTTACACATTAGCCGTGTGTGGGGAACTACGTCAAACACTTTTGCAAAATCCAAGTATACCACATCCACAGCTACCCCTCTGTCCAAGGTTTTGCTCACCTCATAAAAAGAAATCAGATTTGTTTGACAACTTCTGTCTTTCATGAATCCATGCTGTCTGTTGCTTAAAATATTTTTTTTCCAGCTAGAACTCATCTATGTGGTCTTCTAATAAACTCTCCAGTATCTTTCTAACTATAGATGTTAAACTGATAGGTCTAAAATAACTTGGTAAAGATTTTGGCTCCTTTTTAAATATTGGCACCAGTTTGGCCTTACACCAATCCAGTGGTACTATGCCAGCCATTAAAGAGTTCCTAAAAATTAGAAACAATGGCTTTGAAATGACAGAGCTCAATTCTTTAAGGACTCAAGGGTGTATGCCATCCGTTCCAGGTGCTTTATTCACCTTTATTCTGTCTAAATATTTCTGGATCATATCAGTTGTGAGCCAATGTGGATCATCTGGAGCTGTGTCAATACCATGCCTATTATGGACACGAGCTCCCCCATGCTCCTTTGTATACACAGAGCTGAAGAGGGTATTTAATAAATTTGCCTTCTCTTTGTCCCCAGTCACCCACTTTAGATTATTTTGTAAAGGGCCAACATGCTCGGACCGGACCTTTTTACTATTAATATATTTGATGAATTTTTGGGGGTTTGTCCTGCTATCTTTTGCAATCTGTCATTCATTTTCAATGAATTATCCTCATAATTATCCTGCTGCTAGTCAATTTAACAATGCTGTGCCATGCAAGGTAAAACACGTTCTTGTACTTTTTTTCTTTACATTTCAGCAAATTCTCATTCATTAAACATGTTGTGTTTTGTTGCTGGTCAATTTTACATTGCATATGCAGTCTCTTCATAAGCATCTGATAGAAACTAGCAGGCAGCAGGACAGTTTTGCATTAGCAAGAACAGGACCAGCCTCAGCAAACTACTGGACAATTTCTATCCATTGGTCAAAGTGGGCCTAATGCCTGATGAAAAAGAATGTGTCCCTGCTAAAAATACATGATGATAGCCTTTTTTAGCCAACTGAAATAAATCAAATTTGAGTGCTGCTACTGTATGTAGGTCAATCTAATTGTTAAAAAAAACGAAATAAATAAGTAAATTCCAAGCCAATTATGCACTGACAGTGTACACTGTGCTGAGGCTGTCAGGTATACACTGTGAAAAACACTGTCCCATAACACCACATACAGCTTTAAAGTGGTTGTAACATTTCAAGGTTTTTAGCCTTCATGCATTCTATGCATGAAGGTATATATACTTCTCTGTGCAGCAGCCTCCCCAGCCCCCCTTAATACTTATTTAAGCCCCCTCTCGATCCAGCAATGTGCACTGGAGACTCGGTTATCCTGGAACTCCTTCTCCTTATTGGCTGAGACAGCAGCGGGGGCTATTAGCTCCCCGCTGCTCTCATTCACAGCCAGTGAGCCAATGAGAAGAGAGAGGGGGGGGGCAAGCCGCGGCTCCATGTGTGAATGGACACATGGAGCAGTGGGTACCTCCATAGCAGCTGCTTGCTGTGGGGGTACCAGACAGGAGGGAGGGGCCAGGAGAGCCTCCGGGGGACCCGAGAAGAGGAGGATTCAGGCTGCTTTGTGCAAAATCACTGTACAGTGCAGGTAAGTATACCATGTTTGTTATTTTTAGAAAAAAAAATTTTAATCCTTTATCACTTTAAGGCCTGAATCCAGATATATTGTAACTTTAACCATTTCAATACCGGGCAATTTTACACCTTCCTGCCCAGGCCAGTTTTCAGGTTTCAGCGCTCTCACACTTTGAATGACAATTGCGTGGTCATAGAACACTGTACCCAAACTAAAATTTTATCATTTTCTTCACACAACTAGAGCTTTTTTTTGGTGGTATTTAATCACCGCTGGGGTTTTTATTTTTTGCTAAATTAACAAAAAAAGACCAAAAATTTTGAAAAAAAAAACACATTTTTCTTTGTTTTTGTTATTAAAGTTTACAAATAAATAATTGTTCTTCATAAATTTAGGCCAAGATGTATTCTGCTACATGTCTTTGGTGAAAATAACCCAAATTAGGATGTATTTTTTAGTTTGTAGGAAAGTTATAGAGTTCACAAACTATGGTATAGATCTGAATATTGATCAATCCTGAAGTACTGACAGCCAATCTAATTTCTTGAGGTCCAAGAATGTCAGAACAGTACAGATATCCCCAAATGACCCCTTTTTGCAGAGTAGACAGTCCGACGTACTCATAAGAGGCATGGCGAGTTTTTTGAAGTTGTATTTTTATGTCATAATTTTTCGGAAAATGAAAAAAATTAAAAAAAATTATTTTCACTATTTTTTTTTTTACATACTGTCACCAGTGCAGTACAGCGTCATCATATAACTGGCATGGCGGTTAACAGGGACACTCACTGGTGACAGTATGAA